AAAAAGCATTTGATAAAATTTGACATTCCTTTGTGATTAAAAAAAAATCTTCAAAAATCAGTTATAGGAACTAGGGTTGTGACTCAGCAGTAGAGCACTGGCTAGCACTTGTGAGGCCCTAGGTTCAATCTTCAGCACCATATAAAAATAAATAAAATAAAGATATTGTATCCAACTACAACTAAAAAATAAATAATAGGTTTTTTAAATCAGTTAACTACCTCAATGCAATAAAGGCTACATGTGACAAACCCTAAGCCAACATTATACTACATGTGTAAAAGCAGAAATATGTTCCTCTAAGATGAGGAACAAGACAAAGGTGTTCACTTTCACCACTCTTATTCAATATTGTATTAGAAGTCTTAGCCAGAGCAATAAAGCAAGAGAAGAAATAAAGGACATCCAAAGAGTAAAAGGAAAAAAACAAATAACCCAATCAACAAATGGGCCAAGGACTTGAACAGACACTTTTCAGAAGAGGATATACAATCAATCAACAAATACATGAAAAAATGCTCACCATCTCTAGCAATCAGAGAAATGCAAATTAAAACTACTCTAAGATAGCATCTCACTCCAATAAGAATGGCAGCCATTATGAAGTCAAACAACAATAAGTGCTGGCAAGGATGGGTGGGGGGGTACACTCATACATTGCTGGTGGGACTGCAAATTGGTGCAACCAATTTGGAAAGCAGTATGGAGATTCCTTGGAAAGCTGGGAATGGAACCACCATTGACCCCACTATTCCCCTTCTCGGACTATACCCAAAAGACCTAAAAAGAGCATACCACAGGGACACAGCCACATCAATGTTTATAGCAGCACAATTCCACAATAGCTAGAATGTGGAACCAACCTAGATGCCCTTCAATAGATGAATGGATTAAAAAAATGTGGCATTTATACACAATGGAATATTACTCAGCACTAAAAAATAACAAGATCATGGCATTTGCAGGAAAATGGATGGCATTAGAGCAGATTACGCTAAATGAAGTTAGCCAATCCCTAAAAAACAAATGCCGAATGTCTTCTCTGATATAAGGGCGGTGACTCAAAATGGGATAGGAAGGAAAAGCATGAGAAAAAGACTACCACTAAATAGGGAATAGAGGTGGGAGGGAAAAAGAGGGAGAAGAGGAGTTGCACGGAAGATGGAAGGAGACCCTCATCGTTATATGGAATACATGTATGATGTTGTGATGAGAAAAAAAAAAGTGTGTCACATTAGATTGGCTAGAAAGAAATGATGGGAGGGGAGGGGAGGAGTAGGGGGGATAGGAAGGACAGCAGAATAGAACAGACATTATGATTGCTGTATGTGTATAGGTGACTCTATGATCAGTGTGATTCTGCAATCTGTACAATTAGAAAAATGAGAAATTATACCCCAATGATTCAAATGTATGAATTGCCAAGATCATTGTAATGTCATGTGTAGCTAATAAAAAAATTAAATTTAATTTAAAAAAATTAAAATAAAATAAAATTTCTAATTTTATTTCATCATGATCTGAAAAAAATAAAGATCAACCTCCATGTTGCAGACAACTTTATTTTATATAGAGAAAAATCTGAAGATTCTACCAAAACTGTTAAAACTGATAAATCAGTAAGATTGCAGGATACAAAATCAACATAAAGATCAGTAGTTTTATAGTTTTAACTGTATTCAAACAAAGTTTTGTGATACCACCTTTACAAATGTACAGGATATTTCATTAACATTGCTAACTGCTCATGCAGTTAAACACTGTGGAAATTCAACTGTAAATTTCGATAACTTCAAATGACACATATAATCCAAAACCTTGTCCCATCTACATTTTCAGTCAATATGAAAGAATCCCTTTCTGTTTCCACAGTTAAGCAAATGTCTCCTTCTGAGATTTTTTTGTTTGTTCCAAAGGAAAAAGATATCTAATATAAGAATTTAGCAGAAGCCAGTGGTGTTTCTTTGCATGTCTCAATTTTAAAATACTTAACATAAATCACTTTTAGAATGACAGAATAGGAAAGAATGTAATTAGTTCTTTTGTTTCTGGCTTCACCCTTAACATGAAATTCTATGAGACTTTGTAAAAGTTGCCTAATTTTTTGTCCTTCAGTCATCTCTGCAATTCTTCAAACCCGAGAAGCCCAGGAAAAAAGAAAAAAATGATTAAAGTATTTAAAATGTGTACTTTAATATGGTAATCTTTCTAAAACTAACTGGCATTCATTCTTTATGGTAACATTCATTGAGAACTTGATCAGGATGTATTAAAAACAAAATAAAGATCTCTTCATTTGCTAATGTGATGAGAAAAAGTCAATAAAATCAAATTAGCTCAAAAGCAATGAAAAAAGCAATATGGGACAATCAGAGTTGATGTCTATATTCTTAGCTAGTTGTATAAACAAAAAAACACAGATAAAACATAAACTTTAAATACTTTTTTGGCTTTTGAATCTCTGTGATTTTTAAAAGAAGCACACAATGGAATGTTTGGTAATGACCACAGTGCCATCTAGATTTAAGAAGATCAACCCTCAACACAATCCCATCTATAAAAATTAAATAAATAAAAATTCGAAAAGAAAACCAATAGCTTTTTAATACACCGATAACAAAACTGCTGAGAAAGAAATCAAGAAAGTAATCCCATTCACAATAGCTACAATAAATAAATAAATATTTTTTTAAATACCTAGGAATAAATTTAACCAAGGAAGTTGTTGATATCTACAATGAAACTTACAAAACATCAATGAAAGAATTCATAGAAGATGGAGAAAAATGGAAAGACATCCCATGTTCATGGATGGGAAGAATTAATATTATTAAAATGTCCATGCTACCCAAAGCAATCTACTGAGTCAATGCAATTCCTATCAAATGCTTTCTTCACAAAAATAGACAGCACACTTCTAAAATCTATACAGAACCCACTAAAGAGCCAAATCAATCCTCAGCTAGAAGAACAATACTAAAGGCTTTATAATATCTGACTTTAAAACTTATTATAAAGCGATAGTAACCAATATAGCATGGTATGGGCATAAAAACGCACAAACAATTAAAACAGAATAGGGATCTCAGAAATAAATTCATGTATTTATAACCAACTGATTTTTGACAAAGGCAGTAAGAACAAATGTTACACATATGCACATGCTATATATAGCTCTAAAGCAAACCAGGCTTCCTTTGTAAGTACACACATACAGCACAAGTGCTAGGCATAGAAGAAACTCAAAGTGTATCAATATGTTTAAACACTCAAGGCCTGGCATCCTGTTCATACTAAAAATAATTTTGAAAATAAATTTTGTAAATATAGAAGAAACTTATTTTTAAAATGTTTAAACAAGGTTCTTCAATAAATGGTGCTTGGAAAACTGGATATCCATGTGCAGAAGAAAGAAGCCTGCCATATACAAAAATCAACTCAAAATGAATCAAGAACTTAAATATAAGTCTTGAACCTATGAAACAACTAGAAGAAAACAGAGAGAAAATACTTCAGGACATTAATCTGGGCAAAGGTTTTTTGGATATGACCCTAAAAGCATAGGCAACAAAAGCAAAAAATTTTAACAAATGGATTATATCAAATTAAAAAGCTTTGTACCACAAAGAAAATAATCAAGAGTGAAAAGACAACTCACAGAATATAAGAAAACATCTGATAACTACTGATCCAATAAGCGATTAATATCCAGAACATAAGGATATCAAAGAATTCAACAGTTAAAAAAAAAGAAAGAAAAATTTAATTTAAAGATGAGCAAGTGACCTGAAATTTTTAAGTGGCAAATTTTGATATATAGAAAAACAAGGCACGGTGGTGCACATCTGTAATCCCAGCAGCTTGGGAGGCTGAGATAGGAGCAACGTGAATTCAAAGCCAGCCTCAGCAAAAACAAGGTGCTAAGCAACTCAGTGAGACCCTGTCTCTAAATAAAATAAAAAATAGAGCTAGGGATGTGGCTCAGTGGTCGAGTGCTCCTGAGTTCAATCTCCAGTAACAAAAAAAAAAAAAAAATGTTATATAATGTTCTCCTATATTATGGTTTCTATCACATGCTGTGTTGTATTACATAATTTGCTATATAATGCTTTGGATCTTCTGCTGTACCTAGCATAGTACTTTGCACAGTTTGAACTCTTAGAACAAAATGAATACTGCATTTTATTTTCAGGTACGAAGACAAGCCTGTACCTATGGTCATAACCTCAATCAATAGTATGGGTATAACAGAGTAAAAGTCAGAAAGAATGATTTCTCTCTAGCCCTCAGTTTATAAAACCTCAGAGTCAACAAATATTTAATAATTTTCAAGTATTATACAGTGGAATGGTTGCCATACTGAGACCTCTCTTTGCTTTATAAGTCAAGTCCCTGGATCCGTTTGGCTCTGACAAAAATTCCACACGTAAATGTTTATCAAAAAGTACAGCTATGAAAAGAGTCACTATAACCTTCTTCTAGCTAACAGAATATTGGAATTACATTTTCATTTAATTCTAAGTCTTTTGCTTTTGACAACCAGTATGAAAATTAAATTACAACAAGGCAGGAATTCAGCAAAGATCACAACAAAAAGTACACTTAGTTTTACCTAATGACTGAAAAAGTTTCAACCTTATCACTCCACCATATCATATCCACTCATAGATGATACAGAAACAAGTATTAGATAAATTAAATATACAAACACATAAAATAATGAAAGAACTAAAGATTCTATATGTGTTTTAATATAATATTTGTGTTTCAATGTATGTGGATACTGCACACAAACTAAGATTTTTCAGCCACATCTCTACAAGAATTCTAAAACTGGGAATTTACTCTTAGAATTAATCTTAAAAATAAAATTATTAATGGTCTCAGTAATTCATCTGTTCTACTCTTCAAATCTATACACAAACAATTGAAATGTATAGTTATATTAGATAGAACTGTTTCGTTTTAATAAAATCAATTGGATTAACATGCCATCTAACCTGTAGCTGTTTTTCTGGATGATACCATCTGATGTGTCCTGTACTTCTTTAGCAGAAAATTCTAAAAGGTGCCTCCTTTGATTTGCAGGGCTCACGTTAGGGTTCATTCTTCTAGAATCCTGTTCCAGCATGCTGAAAATTTTAAAAACATAAAGCAACCGTTAAAATTAAAATGTCACATATACATGTATATGACTTCCTTTATAGGTCCACACATGCAGCAAAAATGTTAGGCATAGTAGAAAGTCAAAACAACATGTTGATATGTTTAAATACTCTAGGCTTAGCATCCTGTATATATAACAATAATCTTGAAAATAATTTTTTAAGTAAAAAGAACGTTATTTGTAAATGTTTAAACAAAAGGAATTCTATGTGTTTATAAAACCCTATGTTATCATATAAGTTGCTTGTTATAGCTTGGATCTTAAATGTCCTCTAAAAGTCCATGTGTTGAATGAAGGCCTAATCTAAGTCCATGGCACTGTTCGGATATGACAGAAACTTTAGAAGGTGGGGTGTGGTAGAAGGATGTTAGTCCAACTAGTATGTACCTTTGAATAAATATTGGGACCCCAAGCCCCTCCTCATCCTCTCTCTTTCACTTCCTAACCACCATAAGGTGAATAAGCCTACTTTGCCACATGCTCTTGTGATCGATCATGCACTGTGCCACCAAAGTCCCAAAGCAACAGTGCCAAGTGATCACAGACTGAAACCTCTAAAATCATGAGCCAAAATAAGCCTTTCCTTTTTTAAGCTGATTTATCTCAGGTATTTGTTATAGTAATGGAAAGCTGACAAACACAAAAAGTATACACACAAAAGTATACAAACTAGAAATATGTACAACCTACATATAAACACATTCTAAACTTAGATAATAATTGAAATAAGTCCTCCTGGATGCTGCAAATTGATGTTTTCAATTAGAGAATGCTTCAAATGAAATAAGAATTATTCTCTTTTGATAGTCAAATTTGTTATTAGCCTTTTGCAAATCCAAGAGGCAATCTATCAAATAAAACTAACAAAAAATTTACCTTAAAAATACTTCTATTTTTATTTACATGTAAAATTTTTTGTTTACTTCTTTCTCCCCACCCTTGCTAATACCTTTTTTCATCAATGTATATTCTCCTGATAGGTACAAGCATTTGGGGACAAAAAATACATAATGTCTCATATATTGATACCTATATCAAATATTCCAATAGTTTTTTAACACTTTTAATTCATTAATCAGATTAAATTGGTGGCTTGGAAACCTGGCTCACCAATAACATTTTTATGTGATTGCTGTATTTCATGATGCCACATATATAATTTACACTATTCATAATCTTGAAATCCATTACAAAGAGTGCAACCTCCCTAGTTAGGCATAAAAGATTCTATTTAGAGGAATGAAGTGAAAAAAGAAAGTAGAGCTGATGGAAAAGGTTAATGGTCGCATGGTTCTAAAAGGAGTTCTCTGGGATGTAATAGCTTACCTCCAAAGATGGGGAGAACAGTGTTGGGGGGAGAGCAGTGTTGGAGGGAGGCAGATGTATCTTTCTAGAATCTTTCTGATCTTTTATTATATAATATTTCCCATTCTCCCCTTTAGCCCTAGCAATCATTGCTGCCCAGTGATTCTCACATGGTATGCTGTGGCATTTTGGCACACTGTAAACTCAGACTTTACAAGTTATAAACTCTGAAATTATGGCCATTGCATAAAATTTAATTTTGTCACAATCGAGGCTACATTTTTTAATTACAATTGTAGATTTCAGACTGAATGTTTACTTGCTATAAAAGAGGTAAAGGGCCTAGTGGAATACCTAAATAAACTTAGCCTCATAAATATTTAAGAAAACATGAGACAAGCAGTAAATGATAACAATGGGGTTGGGGGCTGTAATTAATTAAAGAATTTTTTTGTTTTGAGATTTACATTTTTAAAATTATTTATTTTATAATTTTTTCATGTGTGGTGCCAAAAAATAAAAATCTACTTAAGCAAAATCAAAGTCATGAACTTTCCCTTAAGTTGACCTCAGTTCATTCAACCCCTACTCCATTGTATTATTAAAATGATCATATTAACATTCCCATTTGACTGCAGCACTCCCAGTTCCCTCCAACTAGATCTATCACTCTAATTATTAAGAGTTTCCTGCCAGGCGCCGTGGTTCATGCCAGTAATCCCAATGGCTCAGTAAGTTGAGGCATGCTAGGTAAGCACTCTACCATTGAATTACATCACCAGCCCTTTTATTTATTTTTTTATTTTTTTTAATTGTGAGCCAGGGTCTAAGTAACTTGCCCAGGATCTGGAGTTCTAAGCCAGCTTCAGCAAATTAGTGAGGCCCTAAGCAACTCAGCAAGACCTTATCTTTAAATAGAATACAAAAAGGGCTAGGGATGTGGCTTGGTCATTAAGCGCCTCTGGGTTTAATCCCCAGTACCACCAAAAAAAAAAAAAAAAAAAATCTTTTTTCCTCTTGTTTTAACCAGAAATGTGCTTCCTCATAATTTCCAATTTTTGGTACTAATTCTGGACTCCGACTATTCAGAACAAGTGTAAGCAACCCTTCTTTCACTGTCCAAAGACATCTAACATCCCCCCTCCCAGGCCTTCCTTTTTAAGTCTATGGTTTCTTGGTTCTTTCACATGTTCCTCTTTATAGCAGTCGTGGTTTCCTTCAGCACATTTGGTCACATCCTGTTTGCATGGTTCTCAGAGGTGGTATCCAGCATTGGCCACAGTGCTTCTCAAGTGGAATGACCATTGCAGGATAATTCCTTGCCTTGTTCTAGATAATACTTTAACGATACAGTCTAATGTCATAAAAGCTTTTTTAGTTAGTCTTCATACTCTAGTTAAATTGATCCTGGATTAATTAAAATCCTAAGACTTTTCTTATAAACTGATTTTGAATCTTTTCCTTCCCTTCTCTCCCTCTCTCCACTTCGATTCTAAATATATTTGAACTTTTACAGACATCTGAATAATTTACATATATTACATATTCCTTTTAAAATATCATTTTGAGCTAATCGTCATGGGACATGTTCTATAATCCTAGGTACTCAGGAGGGTGAGGCAAGAGGTCTGCAAGTTCAAGGGGGAGGGGAGGAGGAAGGGGAAAGGGGAAGGAAGGAAGGAATGAAGGCATTTTGTCTATCTACAACTGAAAATAAATTAAAAATGCTTTGAGTTTAACTATTTGCTCAGTCTGTTTTATCTGTAATTAGACTGCACTATAATTACTTAGCCACACTTGTTGGAAATGAATTTTGATGTTGACTCATAAGTGGTCACTATTTTTCCCACTCTCCATGTTGGTAATGATTTAATACTGTATGACAACATACCCTTAATTATACCTAATTTTATATTTTTTTAGACAAAGAGCCCAGATCTCATTGAATAGACTTCAAAAAAATCATCTTCACAACACTAATATTACACATAGTCAACAAAATATTTTAAACAAGAGAAACAGTAAGGGGGCAAAAATTAGGATCCAAACAGTCTGAGTTTCAATGATATTATCTACCCATTGAAAAGATAAATTGCATATTTAACAATTTTGTTAAGAAACTTTTCATGCTCTTTTTTAAAAATATTCTTCTTAGTCATAGATGGACATAATACTTTTATTTTATTTATTTATTTTTACGTGGTGCTGAGGATCAAATCCAGTGCCTCACAGGTGCTAGGCAAACACTCTACCACTGAGCCACAACCCCAGCCTACTTTTCAAGTTATTTACTTGTTGTTTTCTTTGGTTTTTATGGCAGTTTGGCCTCCAATCCCTGTAAATTTTCAGTGTTAAGGTAAAATTGCAAAAAAAAAAAAATTATAGAAATTTCTCTTATGTTTATATACAGACAAGCTAACATCCAATTCAGCTAAAAACAAAACATTATAAATACTAGAGCTCTGTGAAATGACCTACAGAAACTAAGGTTAGCCATGTAAATAATTGCAGATTTATGTTTCTCATTTTTATACGTATTTAAGAGACTTCTAAGAACTTTATTTCACTGCCAAAATTCAAAATTATCTAATTGTGACACTACAAATGTTAAGAGGAATTTAACAGTCCTTGTAATGGCCAAATATACAAGAATATGAGAAAGTTATTATTGATATGAACTTTTAGATTCTTGGTCTGAGTGTTTGTTTCCATCATTCAATGTCCCTTTTTGTCACTTTTGGAAAAATTAAATCCCAAGAATGTGAAGAGAAGACTCAGTCCCAGGAAGAGTGAATGTAATGATTGTGTCCAATGTCTGTTTCTAGTTCATAATATTAATAAAGCAACCTAACCTAAACTCTTTATAATTAGTTTAAACCAGGTTCTATTCAGTATTTTTAAATAAACTAATAAAAAAAAGAAAATAGAAGTCTCTGATCTATGTCTCTATGATCAGAAACATGTTTTTCCACAAGAGTCACAATTGTTTTAAGCCACAAAATAATCATTACACCAAAAAACTTGCTCATGTCATGGGCCAAAAAGCCTGAAAAGCATGGATTAATAAAACACAAACGATCTCAATTTCCCCAAAAGTCTGGAAGAAGCATTATAAGAATTGTTACTTTCCTTTTTCATTTGTGAAATTCTAAAAGCCAACAACTGTTGTGGATTATGAATAAAGCCATTTAATCCTTAAGATATGATTTAGATATCCAATCTTTATACCAAGTGGCTGAACATAAATTGGCACATCTCCAAGTCTACTCTACCCCTTGAAAATCTGCTTTCTTATGGTACAAGTAGGTCAATTTTAAATTTAAACCATCTTAGCATGTAAGATTCATACTGTTTCTTGTCTCCAAAAGAAACCATATGCTGGGTTGGGGATTTAACTCAGTGGCAGAGCACTTGCCCACCAGGCTCAAGGCCCTAGGTTCAATCTTCAGCACCAAACCAAAAAAAAAAGAAAGAAAGGAAAAAGAAATCATATGGTGCTGCTGCTCAAACTACACATGAAAAAAATGTAAGTTGAAAAGAACATGGAAAGCTTCAGGTTTGAATGTGGGAAGAGCACACAATCTGGAGAAAGAAGATCTGTGTTCAAAAACAATAACAAATATTTTGCTTGGTTTTCCTGAAATTCAAAGGAGACAGCAG